CTATTTATAATTAAACCCGATATTTTGTTCAGGCTTAGGAAAATCAAAACAAAGTTCCCTATGGGTAAAATGAAGGGATAGGTTCGCAAAAGAAGGGATCAAATCTATAACACAGACTTCAAAAGCAGGGGAATAACAAGACTCAGAAATGTACGGATTTAGCTGAGAAAGGACAGACTGTCAATCTGGAACCAAGATCATAGGAGATACGTTTGCAACCCTGTTAAATTCAAGTTGACACTCCAGATTGTGGGAAATGCAGGCAGAAATGCATCTATAACTCAAACAGTCATTCCCACCCAGCATCCTTGAGATATATGGGATCAATAGGAACTTACAGTATTTCAGTTGTGGAACTACCAGTAAGAGTGCAAGTCTATTATAACTCAGTCAGAAATTTACCAGTGACCTCAGATCTATAGGATTAAGAGCTGATGAAGAGAAATCCAATAGGGACTGGAAGGAGCTAGCTTAGCAACATGAAAAAGTATCAAGGAAGCAGAGACAAAACAATCATTATTAGCTGGAGAGGAAGTCTGGGCAATAGAAGGGCTGACAGGATGGTGTCTTAAGGGGCTGAGAAACCCCCAAGTGTATTCATACAACTCGCTTAACTTTGTTAACTGATATTCCTGGGTTTGCACAGTATGCAAACCCAGTTTTCAGAGCCAGTTTGGTCTAGTGGTGAAGGCCCCAGGCTAGAAAGCAGGAGATGGTGAGTTCTAGTCCTGCCTTAGGCCTGAAAGCCGGCCGGGTGACCTTGGGCCAGTCCCTCTCCCTCTCAGCCCAACTCACCTCACAGGGTGGTTGTGGTGGGGAAAACAGGAGGAGGAAGGAGTATTAGGTACGTTTGCTGCCTTGAGTAATTTATAAAAATAACAAAGGCTGGATAAAAAAAATATAATTAAAATAAACACATGCTGAATCATCAGCTAACCAAATTAGTTGGTTCGCGCAAGATGCTAATCCACAAAAAGATCAATATTAACGTTAAGGAATTGAGTGAAGGCAGCTGCTAAGGCCTTTAACAGACCTGGTTAAATATGCTGCACTGTGGGGAACACAGAAGCTAAGTGGGAAAAAAGTGACTTTTTCAGGTCTGGCTGGCAACCTGAGGACCCAGGACACCCAGCTCTAAATTTGAGTTGAGGCTGGCAGAAGAACTTCCTTACAAATGAGAAAGACCGGAAGGGCAGCTGAGGGCTCAATTGGCAGAACTGGGCTTCACTGGCAATAAGATGGGGTGGGAGGTGGGGTGCATAGGGAGGAAGAAACCTATTCAGATGCACTTGCAGCAGTGCAGGGTGACCAGATAGCCTGTAATCAGCTCAAATGTCCAGCTGGGTCCCCCACAAAAGGTAATGTCTCCTTCAAGTCGAGCACTTGTGACTCCACAGACGTGTCCCCTTTCGTTTCTTGACAATGACATAGAACTAGTTTGCCTTTACTTTCTTTCAGGATCCTTTTTTTTTTTTATTTCCCAATCTGGCCTACAACCTGGGCATTTCCCTGTGGTCTCCCATCCAAGCGCTAACCCCTTTATCTTTTTGTAAATCAGCAGAGGTTGGCTAGGCACTGCGCCCTAGCTGGGCACCGAGAAAAAAGTAGATAGAAGCCTATGTGGTCTTTTCAAAACCCCTTAACATGCAGGGGAATCACAGAAAAATGGGGCGGGGGCTAGCTACAGGTCTACCCAGCCTTCCCCGTTGAGATGAACCAGGCCCACGGGTCACCAAAATCCGCAGGGACAAGAGGAGATGCAGCCCGACTCACCTGGAGAGGTGGGGACAACTGGGTCAAAGCCTTGCCGCGCAACGGGGTACGAGCGTGGCCCGCGGGCAGCGAGGCCGCGAGGGGTGGAGGGTCGCGGGGGGACCTGGGGGCGTGCAGAG